CAACTCTTATGTGAGAAAATGCAAACAAGGATCAATATTCAATAAAACGTATAATGAGAAAATTTATTGGAGTTTAAATGAGGATAAAGGTTACCTATATGAAGCCATTATAGAGTACCGTCGATTCTTAAATACAACAACAACGAGCCAGTCTACAATCCGACGTCCAGTCCCAATAACAAATTTTTCTCGAACAGAGGATTCACCGGAGGATTCAGAAAAATCAGAAGAAAACGTTTATTCAAGTGCTACAATTACTGCGAATGAATCCAGTTCGTCACAGTCCGAAGGTTCTCCCAAGAATGATGCTATTGCCGATATTAAATCCACCAAAAAACGAGGTGTTATAGCCAACTCTCATCGATTAGGAAATTTACCCGGGGATTCAACGGATGAAGAAAATAAGACCGTTACTTCTAGATTTAATCAGAATCCATCTGTCGTTATCAGCACATCGCGGGTGAATCATCTCAAAGATTCAAAAAAACCAAAGGGAAACAGAAACACTAATACCACAAATTACCCTACTCAAAGAACAATCGTAAGAGCCAAAATTAGCTCTTCCCGTGGTCCAGAAATTGTCGGTTCGACTTCTTCTATAACCACTACAATTAATTATAATTTCATTCCAAGAAGACCAATTGTTGTAGCTGTTGGTGGTAATAGTCCAACTCGATCCAGTCTTGGTCCGGTTTTGGTTCGGTCCAATAGTAACGCAGACTCGGGATCTTAGGTTATGATAAAGACTATCATATCGAAATTATTCTGATAAGCAGTAAGTCCTTATTTAATTTTTCTAAAATATTTTCATTCTATTTTTTGCGAGATATACACATTGTATAAACCTTGAATCTATCACATTTTAAATTGTTGTCTTGTATAATAAAGACGAATGGTTTCTTTTTTTGATAAGAATCAATAATAATTTCAATAGCATACAATCCAAATCCCAGTCGAATTACGTAATTCGTCATATCCGAAGCTGTGGTTTGTCAGACATATTAACGTTATTGAATTTACGCATTAATTTCTCTTCGTGGCAACTATTTTTGCTTGTATGATAATATTATAGTTTAATTCACTTTCAAAAATAACGTAAAAATTCCTATATTCTATTATTAATTCAAAATTTTTTTAATTCTAAATAATAATCAATATTATTAAAATGAAAAACTTGAAGCATTAATAATAATAATAATGATAGAAATATAACCCATATATGACTGCAATAATAATAATGGCGCCTTTTTTTCTTGTCTCTCTTTTCATCGATTGATGCAAACTTTTAGAAAGTGAGGCCAAATACTCTTCTCTTTATAATAACATTTCATATTCACTTAAGCATAAACATTCTGCTATCAACAAGCTTTCTAATAATATTATTTCCTTTTTATTATAAATTTTTCTCTTTTGTTCGTTTTTTCTTATTTATAAATGTTTAAATGCCTACGATATATTCAACTAAGTTTATTTTTTAATTTTAATTTCATTTTATATCAATAATGAAGTTATGTATAGTAACTCTCATAATTATGACATCAGGAGGTTAATTTATTAAAAAAACATAATAAAAATAAAATTTTCTCTATATTAAAGTTTATAATTTTATTAAGAAATAATTTTTATTTTTATAATAACTATCATAATTATGAAATCAAGAGATCAATTTTATTAATAAAATATTGTAAAATTAAAATTTTCTCTTTATATTAAAGTTTATAATTTTATTAGAAAAATATTTTTTATTTTTATATCAAATTTAAGCTTATAATCTATAGTTAATATATATTTTTTTAGATTTTACTAAAGAGTTGTATTAATTACAAATCATTGTAAAAATTTTTATTATTAAATTTTATTTTAATTAAAAAAATTTTGTAACAAATTATAATTAGAATAATTCTTTCAGAAAAAATATAAATATTTGAAAAACTTATATATTAATTATAATTATAAACTTTTATATAATAATATAATATTAAATAAAAATATTTATTAATAAAATTATAAAGTTTGATATAAAGAA